GACCAACACTGGAAACAAACTCTGGTTCGTTTAAAGCGGAGCAAATTATCAGGTCTGAATACGACCTAAGATTCATGTCTTTGGTCTGTGAGAAGAAAATGGTGTACCTGGAGAAAAACCTTTAATGATCAAGAAGAACATGTAAACACTACCAAGAAAGGTCCCAGCTGGGATTTGATCCAGAAACTTCTTGCTGAGAAATAAAAGCTCTACAACTGAGCTGCCGTGATGCCAAATTTTGATAATACTGGTGAAGATTCTCAGTCATCCAACTCATGATCAATCAAAAGAAAAAAGTTAAACTCTAAACAACTGGACTTCTTCTGAGTTCTAAGCTTTATAGACCTGCATGAAGGTCTATAAAAACAAGAGCAGGCTGCATGACTAAGAGGCCAAGCACGGCAGGACCTCCACAGGCTGAACCACCATCAGCCCTCTAAGGAAATCCTCAGTAGACCTGTACGCCAGTCTGCCCCTCGTCCTGATACTATAGTAAAAGCCCTAGAACTGAAAATGAATGTAATCAATCAAATTTTAGTGTGGAGTTGTGTTTACAGCAGGGATGTCCAAAGTGTGGCCTGGGGTCCATTTGTAGCTCCTGAACTGATTTTGTGTGGCCCCTGACTTCAGTTCAAGAATTATACTATTTTGTACAAATTTATCCTCCCAGYACAGGTGTCTGATGTAGATGTAGACTTTCTATTTATTATTAGGGCAAATTTATCACAAATTAAAATCTTACAATCAAAAAATTTGGCAACAATACCAATTATTTGTCTTTAAATAACCAGACTCGCACGGCTTTCCTGCCTGCCCGAAGACATCGTTCCCGGCGCCGGGGGAAACGGGCTGGCCGCCTCGTGAGGCTCAGAGCTTGCCGTTCACGTTACTCTGCKGCTGGACCCTCGACAAAAGACTCTCCTCCCGGCTGCCTCGTGGTCTCCTGCCTGCAACAAGTGACCGACTCTGCTCTACACAGCAGGCGCGCTGGAAGCTGCTGTGGCTGCTGTGGCTCCGACCGTCTCCAGAGGAACGAAATCAACTCAGGTTCATCTGCTGCTCCTTCCCTTGTCACCCAGCTGTCTTCCGCTACCGACCCTGAGCTGACTCTCGGCTCTCGGATTAAGGCATTTCGTCCAGGTCCACGCAGTGGTYATGAGCACGTGCGGAGCTGCGTTCTACCTGGTGAGCGGAGGCGCAAAGAAAACCTGAAGAAGCCGACCTGTGCGCTGTGCCCAACCGTTCTTCCAACTGCTGGCGTCAGGAAGTGCATCCAGTGCAAAACAACGAAACTCGCTTTATTAAATGTGAGGTCTCTGACAAATAAAACTTTCATCATGAACGACTTTTTTTGCTCAAACAGTCTGGACTTCATGTTCCTCACGGAAACTTGGCTTTCTCCTGGTGAGCTGTCTGTTTTCTCCGAACTTTTACCGGTGG